CCTGGCCCCTCTCGTGGCGAGGGCAGCACCCGGGGCCCTGCAGGCGTCCTCGGGCAAGCGCCCGCCTGGCCCGGCCGCCGATGCCCTGCCGTGGCAGGCAGGGGTTCGAGCCTGGGAGGCAAGTGGTGGAGCTGGTGAGGCTGGAGAGGGGTCAGGGCCAAGGTCGGCTTGCAAACTGTGAAGTGCTGGGCCTGAATGAGGCCAGGCCTTATAAACTGTGAAGTGCCAGGCTGCAGGAGACCAGGCCTTGCAGACTGTGGAGTGCTGGGTCGGCACAAGACTAGGCCTTACAAACTGAACTGCCAGGCCACAGGAGGCCAGGTCTTATAAACTGTGACTTGCTGGGTCTGCATGAGGCCAGGCCTTGCAGACTGTGAAGTGCCTGGTCCCAGGCGGCCCCAGCCTTACTGCGGTGGTGGGCGGGGAGATGGGGACAGGACCTAAGACGCACGCAGTCCCACGCCTGGAGACCTGTGGCGAGGCGACAGACACGTGTGGGACCCAGACAAGGGCACAAGTGGCCTGTGATGGGGCGCGGCGGCCGAGGGTCCCCGGGTCCCACTGGCAGCACGACCCACCTTGGCCTGTCCTGAGATGGGGGTCTCCATGCCCATCACCCCCATGGGTGGGAGTGTCCTGGCCGTGTGCACTGCCGCCCCACCCCCAGGCCTGGCACAAAGGGACCCAGCACACGCCAGGCAGGCCTGCTGGGACGGGATGGCAATGGACCCCCACCCACCGCTGCCCAGATGACTGGGAGAATCCCACAAGGCTGCTGGGTCCAGAATCTGCCTCCTGGGACATGGTGTGACATGGGGCAGGTTCCTTCTCAGCACTGTGCCTTAGTTTCCCCATCTGTAAAACTGGACAAATTCCAGGGTCCCCTTCTTGGGAATATTGTGAGGATTCAGGAGAACATTTGTGTAAAGAACAGAGCCTGCTGGGCTTGGTGGCTCAACCTGTAATCCCGCGCCTTGGGCGGCTGAGATGAGTGGATGGCCTGAGCCCGCGGGTTCGAGACCCGCCTGGGCAACTTGGCGAGACCTCATCTCTACAATAAATCGAAAAAATTAGC